TTTATATATTGTGATGGGTCAAAAACGTTATTATTCATTTCGTAGCTTACTTCCCTATTATTTTAGACACTAAAGATATAGGTGAAATTGGTAGGTAATTTCCAGACTTTTCTTCTGAACTACCTCCGGATTTTGAGACATCAATGGACGTTTTCGGTCATCTATGAAAAATTCCAATGTCAAAGGATCAATTCATATTCATTTCCATTTGATTCAGAAGAATTTTACTTTGTCTAAACTTTGCTATGGCGAATTTATATTTTCATTTCGAAACATGTCTGTGTAATCATTTGAATTGATAAATTTGATGGTTGATCATTGACAGACTAACATATTACATCAATGAACCAGTGGAGGAATATTTGTTGATTCTTTTTCCAAAAGCAATAGTAATAATTATACTTCAAAGTAATATTACTGAACCTATTTTCAAATATTTATATATTATATGACACATGTCATTTGAAATATAAATATGAAAAAGTTTGTGAAGTCAGTTCATGTATACTCCAATGATATATTGTATGAGAATTACTGAAAATACAGTAGTTTTTTCCAATGTAACTCATACAAATGAGTAAACTTATAATAACTCTCACAAATAAGACTTTATTATTCAACTGAATGAAAATAGATACAGGAACGTGTATCTATTCATCTTTATATTTATTCATTTATTTATTTATTATTACATTTTTCATCTATATGCATCTACATTTTCTTTTGCAAGAATTAGTGTTGGGAAATATGTTTCATATAAGCCATTCAGTTTTTGAATTTATCAGTTCTGTTCAATAAAATGGTTGATCAAATCTTACAGGTTTTTGTTTGTATAAAGATAACATTTCATAGTATTAGCATCCATGCTAGGTATTTCCCCGTTGGAATGTTAGACCACGTTAATGATCAGCTCGCACAGTTTGGAGTTCTAGGGGTTGTCATTCATGAGAGGGCAATTAATCATTAACGAAAAAGCTGATTTTTTAATAGTTTCTATGAATTCACAGATTCTGAGTTATTCCATATGACCTTTTTATATGCACAACTTGTTGATATTAACGCACTGAAAGCCATGATGGTTGTAGGAAGAGAATTTTCCGATTAGATATATTCAGGATTCACGATTATTTGCGAAGACTCTATGCGATAACGGATGTTTTGAATAAAACTAATTGAAAAGACGTCCAACGTATTTTAAGCATGTCAGAATTAGATCTAGCAGTTTTAAATTCAGTTCAAGGAGACTTTCGAGGCATTTGAAAGATCAGTTAGGTGATTAAAGAAATGTGAATTGTGATACCATAATAGAAGCAAACTCAGAAATATACATTACAGTATTAATTGAATTGCTCCAAGCAAGCAGATCAAAACCGTAATGTAATCAGACCACGTAATATTGGGAATCAATCTTCTGCAGGTAAAGAAGAAATCGCACGAGAGGATCGTCGTATTCTGTAGTATTTTGTAGTATTTCTCCCATTTTGGGTTCCAAACTACCGTTCTACTGTTTGAGAGGTGAATTCAAATGAGGACTCACTTCACTTCCTAGATTAGTTATTGAATGACTCTAAATAGTGAGAAATAAAACATATTCTCTACTGTTTTTCGTACCAATCTACAGCTTTTCTAACACAAGATATACTGCTCAGCATGAAAATCACCAGGTAACACTGGCTGTATTAGCATAGCACGACATGGTATAAAAAATTCAATATGACCCAGTGAAAACTAAACGAAACATTCAAATAATAATTCTAAGGCGGTACGAAGTTCGCCGGGTCAGCTTGTTTAGTAATATATATTATACTGCATTGATTACACATAAGACGTGTCTTGTCAAATCAGAAGAAATAACGTTTATAATTGAAATCTCATAAGGGATTCGATATGCCAAAAAAAGTGCACTGTCCAATCTGTATACAATATTATCAAATTACGGTTCATTATTAAACCACATAGGCATTAAACAGAAATCATTTGTGATCGAAACAGTATTACATGAAATTCAAATGAAATTCACTAACTGTTTTGTCATTATAGTTATCAAATATTCAATTTCGTACCACAAAAGATGTTTGTTCGCTGTGCATTGTTCTTGATCAATCACCTTCATTAATATTTCAAACGAAATTACATATATTGTAAGCTTTCCCAGTCGTTAAACTGATGATGGTTTATCGAATTTTTGAAAGTTTTATAGGGCAAATATTTTTCCTTTGTTCACTTATTCATACGTGTCTTCTATTTTCAGCTATCTGTAAGGCGTCATGTCACAAAGAACGAGGGTATTGCAGAAAACCAGGAGAATGTAGGTGAGTGGAGAACAAAAGGATGACTCATAGTTGAAAAACAAACGTCACGAGGGGCTAATGTGTATTTTGTCATTATCGAACATGACAAAGAGCTACAGAAGTAATATATTTTTCCGTTTATTTCCTTTCATCAATTCAAAACTATTATTTCAATTTATATGAATAGAATCAATTTCAGTTGTCAATTATTCATAGATCACATAGGAAAATTCTACACACTCTCTGAGAAACAAAAAATATAGAATACTCGTTGACTAGTATTTAAATGTGTGTTTGAAGGTGATTGACAATGTTTCATGATGAATTTCATTAGTTGGGACTTCCATTGCCTAATAGTATATAAAATGATATAGAATCCCTAATAGAACCAATGCAAAAGATACAATTAAAATATTGCGGTGAGTAACAGTGCTCATGAGCGCACGAGTACAAGAACACATTAACAAGATATATCTACGATTCAACTTCAAAAATCGAAATTTTGACTTCAAACTCGTCATCATTTTTAATAAAGGGTAACGTTTCGCAAAACGATCGATGGAAAACGCCTGGATAAGAAGTATTTATATTTCTGTTGAAATATGTAAATAAATCGTCATATTCGATAATTCACTTGAAAACATACAGGTTGTTGTTCATACCTGTGTACAGAGTTGGTTGAATAACTTGTCGGAAGAATATATAAGGAATCTTTGACATTTTTGCTTTTTTGTAAGGTTCTCTTGATCATTTTATCACATCACGTGATCACCAGGTGATTTTGGAATATTCTTTACGATGTTTTTTTTAACATCTAGAAGTCCTTAAATTTCACCTACCTATATAAATGTTTTCACTGGAACAAATATACCAATTTTCATATGTAAACGCCAGCCTTCTATTCCCAATGGGGGCGCCCCAATTGGAATATTTGAAAATTCTTTCTTGTTGCACATCTACAACGAAACGAACCTGCATGAAAATTATCAGTCTCGAAAAATATAGCGGTACAAAGAAACAGGAATTAAAAGGCAATTTTCATATATAAATGCTCCACTTTTACCCCCACTGGGGGCGCTCTTATAGGATAATTCGAAACTCTTTTCTCAGTGCGCATCTTAGACCTAAGACGCAGCTATATATACCAAATTTCAGCTTCCTAGGTCTCACCAGTACAGAGAAACAAAGATGAATGAGTATTAAACGTATAGATAACATGGAGATGTTTGACACGAATGTAAAATACGCTGTCTTCTCAAAATATGAGATGAATTTTCATTTTTCTCATTATCATAATGATAATAATACACTTGTGCCTGCGTTTTCTTCAATCCTTGAAGTAGGATACACTTTTTGATGTCTTTGGCTGACTCAGCGATTCGGTTTACATCTCCTCATTCGTCGCAAAATGTGCCTCATGGGACTCTTCAATTTTCGGAAGGAGAAAAAATCGCCGTGGGTCAAATCTGATAAAAATGGTGGCTGAGGAATAATGACGGTGTTGTTTTTGCCAAAAAAATCACGAACAAGTACTAACGAGTGATCAGGTGCATTATCGTGATGGAAAAGCCATGAATAGTTTTTCCACAATACCGGATATTTTATTCGTATTGTTTCTCGTAAGCGGCGCATGTTTTTTTTGGTTTTGTCTCTTGTTGGCTCCTCCATTGGGACAATTGGACTTTGGTTTCGATGTCATAACCATATGCTCATGATTCATCATCGGTTATTAACCTTTTGGGCAAGTCTATATCGTCGTTGACGTCATCCAACAGATCCTGAATAAAGCTCATATGACCTATTTTTGTTTTGGTTGAATTCATTAATTTTTGAACGTAGTCTGCTGCGACATGGTTCATGACCAGAATTTTCAAAAAATTGCATGTCATCAGCCAACCGATATGCTGACATCGTGAACTACTCTTAATTATAATAGTGCTTCGACGATTCTCCATAACAATTTTCTTCACTTTCTCAACATATAGATTTTTCATGTGCTGGGATGTCCAGGGCGAGCGTCGTCATTCATATCTTCTCGGCCTTCTCTCAAAAGCTTGTACCACTTGTAAACATTTTTCTGACTCAGAGTACAATCATCGTATGCTACTTTCAGTATTTCAAGTATTTTTGGGCACTCAATTCGATTTTGTACACCTAATTTGATACAAATTCTTCGATCCGTTTTTTTTGTAGCGGGAAATTCACACGTACACACGAACCAACATTAAAATATCGCTAATCAAATGTATGTAGCCCGCGAAATTTGAACATTCATCTCATTTCTTGAACAGTCCACGTATTTCAGAAATGAATATTTTGGCTGATATGAGGATGGAAATGAGTTTAATATTGAGAAACAATAACACTGATTGATAACACAAATTGATTTAACATTCAGCTGACGATTGAAAACGAAAGTGATATTTTCCTAAAAATTATGTTTTAAATGACTCCCTAAACACAATTTGCAAATACTTATAGTAACTAGCTCAAATTATTCAATTCGTTGCGACTCATAAGAAGCTGCTGTGACATATCTATGATAACCATTTCAGTTTCATCAGTTTTTTGTCAATTGTTGAATCAGTTTTTCCAATAATAAACTCGTAATGAATATGTTATCATGTGTTGGACCTACTGAAATATATTTATCATTCCACTATTTCATTGAAAAAATCTATCCATTTTTTCATCTGAATTTTTTTATAGATGCAAAGTTGGATGGTGGGGTAAGAACTGTGAAAAATGCTATCCGTATCCAGGATGTGTTCATGGAACTTGTCGTCGTCCGTGGGAATGCAACTGCGCCAAAGGTTGGGGAGGAATGCTTTGCGATGAAGGTAAGACATTACCCAAGATAAGATAAATAAAATGAAAATGAATTCAAACTGACAACACTTGGCGCCAATAAAACGAATTTTCCAGTGATCAACAATTTCTGTATGTCAACTATTGCACCAAATTTGAAATGTAATTGTTGTATGCTAGTGAGAGTGAATATGCAATGTGAATATGCATAGTGATAGTAATGAGTCCAAATTCAGTGAACAAGTATATATTAGGTATACGAGCAACTTTTTGAAGTATTTTTAAAAAGTCACAAAAACGAAGATTCATTTTGGAAAATTGATTTGAAAATGTTCGAACAGTTCTGTCTATAAATGAATACACAACTACTGAAGTAAGACTGATATTCAATCATTCTGTAGTCGAAACAATTATTTGCAGAATCAGATCCGCACCAATTGAAAAACAAAATATTTTTTGCGGCACCCCTCGGTGACAGTTGAAGAATTACTGTTGATTGTTTCAGCTTTTTCATATAAGAACAGTGTTTTCTGCAGTGTTATCTTATGCATTTATGCTTCAACAATTATCATTTTTTCATCGATGTCAATTATTCAAATCATTTCAAGAACAGAAATGAGCAAAAAAAGCAGATTTCAAATGATCAGAAGATGAAAAAAAATATTCAAAAATATTATGGGAGCTATATATTTAATCGTGAATCACACACTAAAGGTTGCTAAGTACTTGAACTTTTGGAGTTATCCGAGTCTAAAGAGTGTAGCATGTAAATTTTCGGTACTTCATTTTGTCAATAAATGAAAAAAGTTTCAGAACAACATCCATTTCACTCCGTGGTGACCTTTCCTCAGCGAACATGAAAATAACAAACATAAATATGTAAAGTTGATTGTCTAAACTCATCCATAGAAACCTTATAAAAATCCCATTGCTAATTACGATTCAAAAACCGCCTTTGATGATGAATCACATTTTTACAAGTTGTTACTACAAGGAAAATTATAAGTTCTTGATTCACCATCAGAAAAATTCAAAACTCTTCTGATTTCAACTCGTTCTAACTGAAACTGCATTTTTTAAGAGTTACAGCTTGTATTACTGCTTACTGTAGAAAGTGTGATTTGTTTCACTGCATACCAGTCTTAATCTTAAAATGATTAAAAGTAGGTGAATAAAATTACTTGAAAGAAAATATCCTACTCATTTGGCGTCTGATATTTGTCTTTAATGGAATTTTTGTGGGTGATTCATATGTATGTCTGTCTTTTGGTTATTGATAATGTTCACAAGGAGTGTCTTCAAATTTAAATTTTCTTTCGGTATTTTGCGTTTAATTTTAAATGTCATCTGTTAAAAAAAATATGTTTTTCCTTTAATCAGCTGTCGCCCCCATACGAACGACAACTCTCAGAAGTTGAGAAACTTGTGCGAGCTAAGGACTAACGAGGTCTCACCTTTTAACCTACCTAACCTTACCTAACACCTGTTAGGAACCACATTGTTTGATGACATTTCGACTGTCAACTGTTTCATTTTTCGTCAGTGTAGCCAATTTAGCTTTAGGGGGTGTCTGACCTGATACAACCAAACATACCATTACTTTATTCTGTTCAGATTGGTCCGTTATGCATGGAACATGCAAATATTGATAGTTTGAAACGCTAGTACCACAGGTATCTGCCATACAGGTGTTTTTGGTTTTGTTCGGCTGACGAATCCTGAATTTGTTAAATTATCCTTAGTGGATATTTCGTTCTACCCATCTTATCATCAACCAAAACGTCCTGGGTTCTGATAGAGGCCTATATTGAACATTTACGACAATTTGGTGTTTGAATACTTTGTACCACGTCAACGCCTTTTTACTACAAGATGAAACCCTTCACTGAAGGTGGGTTTTCCACCTTTTCTTTTCATTGTTCTCTTGCTAGCGACAATATAGGACAGTTGTCCGGAGGATTTTCACCAAGGGAATTGTCACGGTTTCTGTTCTAGTTGGTTATCTCCCAAGCTTTGGTTCAACCCCACGTCTACATCTTAAGGATATTTTTGGTATTATGGTTTCTATAGGGCTCACTTGTCCGAAGTGTACACTCCATGGTTCAGTCTGATGAACAGTTGATTGCACTCAGAGATAATAAAGCTATCGTAGTATCGCTTCACTCATCACTCCAGTCCTGATTGGCCTGGGATTCCATGCTGAGTTCCCAATGTGCTGTCGCCAGAGGAACAGGTTTCACTTATATTTTTTTATACAGGATGAAATCCTATCATTTGAATTTTTAATTATTGATGTACATTCAATCTAGATACACTCAAGTTGAAGTATATGTTTTTCAATGACTATATGTAAACCGCCACATATTACTATACGCTGGGAAATTAATTTCCTGAAACATCTTCTACCTAATCAGCTAACCTTTTGAAGTATCCAATATTGAATATTATTATTAGAATTACGAGTCTTATTTCTGGAAATTTTCACTCTGAACTATTGAAGAGTTATTCACATTTAATATCTGTATGTTTAACTATGTTTTATTTATTTATTGAATAACACTCATCAAGTTGATAACATCTTATGGTAAAGTATCTTTTAGTTTTGGATATAACAACTATTTAGTCATTATTCGGTCACACAACTTTCCAAGTAAGTACTCTTTGGCTCTTTGTCATTTTAAAAATTGCAGTGGCGCCCCTCTAAGTTTTTTGACCAGT